TAAATTTGCTGGGATTATTAACAGAGATGTTTAACCCCAGTGGGCTGACAGGGTTGTTTTATTCTGCTTTAACCTGAACCTATTAAAAAACCCTTCTAGTCTTTATAAAGAAGCTAGAAAAAAATGGATTGGAAAAGGGACTTAGGTAAATGGAAGATTGTTCTGAAATTTGCTGAAATCCTTAAAAACAGTATATTTTTGCTATTCAGAGGTGAGTTATTAGACTTTTCTTTGCAATTACAATGGAGAAGGCACAGTTTGGCACAGCAGCTCAGTACTCCCCATAAATACAGACTTGGACAGTGATGGCCCCTCTGTCCTTGTCACGGTGAGTGCAGGTGGCAGGTGGGGTGCAAGTTTGAGAGCTGCCCCTCGAGGATGAAATGGGTTCTCCCTGAAGTGAGCAGATGTTCTTGCTGCTGGCCTTTGTGATATTCATACTCTCAAAATCCTCTTCAGAAGTGTTTGCTTCTCTCCCATTGCTGTTAATGTAGGGAACAGTGGGGGTGTGTGTGAGAGCAGTTTCTGGGATGGAGGTGCATTTTCAGGGACACTGAGAAAGCTCTTGCAAGGTGAGCCTGTTCCTCCTCTGGCTGTTTATGCCAATCTCTCCTCCAGTATTTACTCTAACGTTTATAAAAATAGATAAGTCTTCTGGAGAGCAAAGCCTGCCGAACTGGGGACAGGGAAAACCTGAATAAACAAACATGTGCCACAGATTAGTAAGAACATCTGTAGGTTTTATATTGTTTTGAGAACGCATACCACAGTTTTTCAATTCTTAGGCTTTTCTAGTTGCTCCTTTTCTTTCTGTCTCTCTCTTTTCTTCTTCTTTTTAAATATATTGCTAATAAAGGTTGGAGGTAGGAAGCACAGCTGGACTCTGCATGACATGCCACTGTTTAATTTCTAGCTCGGAGGATGAGAAGAAGAGTAGTTTTATTGTATCCTAGAAGAGAATAAAGCCACATGCAAATTCCAGCCATGGACATCTGTTTCCTCTTTGTGTGAAAGAATTCTCATATTTGGAAGGGAATCCCAGTTCTGAAGGGGCTGATGAGGTTTTGTTTTTTTTTTCTTTTGGTTCTTTCCCCAGTTCTTTGCCCCTCCTTCAGCTTGCTGCCCTTGCTCTGACTGCTGTTTTCCTCGGGACAATGTCAGCTTGCAATTTGCCATCAGATATCAAATGGGTGAACTTTGAGTGGTATATATACACAATACTTTAGAGTGTTGTGTTGTAGTTACAAAGAGCATTATTAAGTTCCTCCTTAAATTTCTTTTATTTAATTAAACACTGTTTGGTGGGAGGACTTTTGCTCTGTCATCAATCTTCACTACTTACAGGTTGGTATTTTTCTTTAGAAGTGAGATGTATCTGCTGCTCTGGCGGGGAAGTGCAGCTATTTCTAAAAGTAACTTGTTAAACAGAATAATTTAAAATACTTTGTACCAGGGGAATTAAGTAGATGTGTAGAAATAAGCATCTGCAAACTTCATTACCTTAAGTTAGGCATCAGGTGCTAAGGACTGCAGGGACTAGAGTAAATGATAATTTCACTAACCTATAAAACATTTTAGAATAATTATTTGCAGCTGTCTGGGGGCTTTAAATTTGCCTTTTGTGTGTGTTTAAGGGTTGACTCTGATGAGCAAACAGCATGGTTATATAACATTAGGCCAGACATGAGAACTGGTACTCTCTGTCTATTTTATATTAATGTCGAATGAGGGGTTGGTGGAGCTTGCCAGGGTTTCATATTTGCTGGCAGCAAGTTACCCACATGTGTGGACCACATTTTTATTGTTGCCTTAGCCTATTTCAGGCAGAAATATCTCTCCCTAACAGGGTGTGATTCTGTTCATTGCTGAAGAGCTTTTCTTTTAAGAAGCAAAATATAAAAAGGAATGAAATGCTGTAAGTGTTCAAATTAAGAAGTGTCCCCAGACTGCAGAATTTTGTCACGTCTGCCGTGGTGGAAGAATAAAGGGCAATAAGCCATCTAAAGGCTTTTTCAGGGTGGGATGAGCTACCCTCGCAGAGCTATTTCTTTTTGCATATATTAATGCTACTTTTGGGTGTGGGCTGTTTAGTCTGGTCTCTTAGGGAGATGAGGCTTATGCAAGCGGGGTGTTTGCACACATGGACACACAGCAGCCTGCACAGCCCTTCCACATCGCGGCCACCGAAATGTGGCGGAAGGGCAGAGGCTGCGAAGATAAACAGCAGTTCTGATAACTTTCTCGAAAATATGTGTGTGAGGGGAGCATAAAGGTGATTAAAGGGTTTGAAGGAAGGCTTTCAGTAGCAGCTGAACTTTCAACAAGGGCTGTGGAATAGATCTCGAGAAGAAATGTGATGGAGGTCCCTGTCACGGGAAGATTGCCGAAGGCGGCTTGGAAATGATTTGGCTTCAGAGAATCTGATGACAAAACCCAAATCCGCAGGAAGACAGCCTCCCTTTCATTCCAATACCCATGAAATTGCTTGTGTGGGTTTTGTTTTTAAGTCAGAATGTCAGGATTCAATGGGTGAGTGTAATAAATGCAGGAGATCTCCTTAGGATCTTCTTAGTGCAGCAAAGATGCTGCTGCTCTGCTTGGTGGCGGTGGTGCTTCCTATTTTGCTTGGCTTTTGTAAGTTTTTAAACTCTATTAAAGCGTGACTTAGGAATGTTTGAATGTTTAAACCCTTATCCTGCAGCCCTCCCAGAGAGGAGGGAGCCCAGTGGCTGTGCAGGTCACCCTGACACACGTCTGAAATCTGCATCCCATGGGGAATGCATCCCATGCATTCCCTTTTCCCATGAGGAAAAGGGAAACTCACAATCCCCATCCAGCCCGGGCTGCCCCTGAGCAGGACACGGAAAGCCAACACCACTAACACTGAAAATCAAACAGCATTTGGGAGCAAGTTTCCCCTTTGATTGAAATGCTTCAAGCTAGGCGATATAAAGGGGATTATGTCACAAGCTTCCCTTGTTGTCTTATTAACAGCTGCTTAATTTTACCACTCATTCACGAGCATAAAAAAAGCAAAACTTGGAGGCTGTATTTGAAAGCTTGTTTTGTTTGGTGTACAGCTGGATACAGAGCGTTTCCTTTTCTCTTTTTTAACAAATCTGAAGCAAATGTATTGGTTATTGTTACGTATTTTTCCCTTTTTTTTTTTTTTTTTTTTTTTTTTTGTCTAGATAATAGAAGATTATGTTGCTTTTCATTTTACATTGGAGAGAAATCATTCCATATAATTTCAGTTCAACAATGCTGCAGTAGCATGTGGGTGTGTATATATCTTCTCATAAATATATTACCACACATCAGTGTCAAAGAGCTGGGCTTTTTCACCCAGTATTAAAAATGAAATTTAATTGCTACACTAGAGTTTCAAGACTCTGATAAATAAGAGCCATGTCTGACCTTTATTGTGGGGCTCTGAGATGCCACCAGGGATATTGCTCGTTGTCCAAGATGACAAACTTCCTCTGAGATTTCAGTTTGTCAGCTCAGTGTACAGCAGTGACATTGATTTCTTCTCACTGCCATTTCCTGCCTGAATAGATAACAAATTTTCTGTGGCAGGTGTCTGTCAAGTTTAGTTTTGCCTGGCAGATTAACTTAATAGACTCATTTATTAATCATTACTTGCAGCACAGGGAAGCAGACAATACTCTTTGTTTCCTGTGATGTTGAATGGATGTTCCATTTCAGATTCCTTTGTGTAGTCTGAATTTGGGTTTAATAAGCCATTCATATCTCTAGTGAACATTTTTAACCTGACATCACTCAGAGCAAAGCTATCTGCATTAAATAAGCATGATCCATTTTGAGTGTCTACTCCTTTTCATGGCAAAAGATGTGTAAGTGCTTTCTGAGACTAAATAATTTGATATATGAACTGCCAAATCAGCCTAAACAAGGGGGGAAATTAAGAAAGATAAAAGTAGAAGAAAACAGGTGATTGGAGGAAGATTTGAGCCTGGGGTTGACTGGCTAACAAAGTGGAGGAGATAATGCAGCTTTAGGAAGGGGCAAAGCAGACCTGCAGATTCAGCTGTAGGGCAAACCTAGGACAGGCCAGTGCTTTCCTGGAGACCCTTCTCTCTGAAATTCCTTGTGACAGATATTCAGCCTGGAGATAGAAAGGCAGAGTTGGTACCAGAGGTAGGCATTAGACAGGACTTCTCTGAGTGGTGAAGGACAAGGAAGAATTTAGTGGAGGGCTTTGCAGAGGAGAAATACAATAGAAGGCATAACCTTGGAAAGAGATGTCTCTTGTTGCAGTGTTTCAGTGTGCTCACAGTGCAGACTGACTGAGGAGCTGTGAAGGACATGGAAATGCACAGGCACTCCTGGGACAGGTGGCAGCAGGAATGAGCCTGGACAGAGACACGGGGGCCCCTGTGACAGGAGAGCCCCGTGTCACCGGCCATGAGAACCACCAAGCTTCTCCCTTTTAGCTGGGTTGTGGTACTCCTCACAACCTGCTTGTAATTCTCAAGGGAGCTGGCTCCTGGGAGATCATGGGACACGTCCAGGAAGGTTTTTGCAGCTGATGCCCAAGAGCAGAGCCCTGGCTGCAGCACAAGAGTCAGCATCTGCGAGAGTCTGCACTGCTGAGGATGATTTTTGCCAAGCTGTGTTCCTGGCCTTGGGAACGTGTTTCTTGAACCATCCTCATGGCTTTCTTGGCTGGCTGACAAACCAAGAATGTCCCTGCACTAGATCACACTGCTTATTGCACTTCTAGGCCACCCTGTAACAATACATTAACCTCTCAGCAGGGAATGTGATAAACAAAGTAAAACTGCTTTAGTGAAACCAGTCATTTAATGGCAGCATACATAAAGTGTCCGTAAAGATTTGTAAGTGTAATAAGCTGCAGTTCACTGAGAGAACAATAACTGTTCCTAATTTAGCCAGTTGAGGAACATGCTAACCCAATTTACTTTTGTAACATTATGTTGTTGTTCTTTTTTTTTTTTCTTTTCCCACCTCTCCAGATTCCTTTCTCTCTGGTACAGTTTCCCCTCTGGGAGTCCTTAAAGGTAAGTTCTCTTTTAGTGATGGAAATATAAGTTATATATTTTGCAAAGGCTTCCCATGGTAACTTATGTAACTGCATTATTGTGATTATGGGTATGTTCAAGAATCAGAAATTATGTTCCAACTTACCTGTGCTTATGAAGATCATATGCCTGAATATCTGAAAAATAACAGGGAACATCTAACCACTGATCTATGGCATGCAGGCTAGATTTTACTCCCAGCACGCCAGAAATTTTGTCTTTGGCTCTAACTTTTTTTACTGCTAAAAAAGAGTGGGAACCACCTTATGTTGTGTGATTTTTTTAAAATTTATTTTAATTTTTTTAGCGTTTTGCTCTTCATGGTAAAAGAAAATTGTCAATGAAAAAGCTTTCTGCCTGTGTTTTGTAAACTTCACTGAAAAGATATTTTGATTGGCTGCATATACTTCATTTTAAGGTCATTTAAAGAAGGTGTCAATGGATGATGTTTTAACAGTGCAGTTGTTACCATGGTCAGAGTCAGGATCTAGATTTTTGAGTGGAGGATTGCATTTGAATAATTTCTCCATCCCTCTGTATTTCCTTGAACTCACTGCAAAAGATGAAGGGTTTTTCAAATACTTGGAGGTCATGGGGTGGAAGCACAGAGAATTATTCCAGATCATTAAAAACATTGCAACAAAATATATTTATGAAAGAGGAGCTGTAGAGAGAAACTTTCTTCTTGGTAGGAGAGCTGGACTTCTGAGCAAGCTCAGCACAGAGACCCAAAGTGTGTCCTTGTGAGTTGGATTGGGACAGCCCAATGAGTGTTTCTCCTCTTGCAGTGTGTCTGTAGCTGGGACTGTTTGTGGGGGACAAGCCCACAGAGTGAATATTTGCATGTAGAGGCTTCAGGGAATTCAATTTAAAGGTGAATCCACAGGCAGGAGGAGCATGAAAAACATCAAGAGCTTTTGCAGAGCTGAGCTGTGCTCGTGGAGGATTCTGTGGGTACTTCATGAGCTGCTGTGGGGTCTGGGTATCATCCCACTGCTCAGGGGAGCTTGGGCTGCCTTATTAGGAATCTGCTTCCCTGCCAGTGTCCAGGAATGGCTTTCTATAAACTCTTCAGCAGCGGTACTGGCCCAACCTGCTCGTGGTTAGTGCAGCAGCCGTGGCTGGGAGCAAGAGGTGGCAATGCTTAAAGGGAAAAAGTGTGGTGTTCATGCCAAAACCACAGAAACCAGCAACATCGTGTGGCTGTTTGCAGAATGTAAAGTTGTTTTAACTAATGTCCACGTAGCTGTGACAGTAAAATGTATTGTTTACATTACAGGCTTTAAAGAAGACAGTTTGAATTTAGCTAACTACAGGAGTGAGTCACTCAGGATGAGGCATCATGTTTAATCTAAGGAGGTCAGTGCAGAGCTGAAGAGAAACAAAACTTGTGTCAGTTTGTTCCACAAACCTGTTGCATTATATTCTTGTGATGTGAAGTCAAGAGTAGAAAACTGCAAAAATTAGTCAGGCATACTCAGTCACTTTGGCTCAGCACGGGGAGAGAGCTCAGGGCTTGTCATATCAAAGCCAGGCAGTGAAAGCAGGATACATTTTGTTTATCTGAGGGAAGCTCTTAAAAATTGTCCTGACAGTATAACAAAGGACAAAAATCATTATGGTCCCATCAAGAGGATGGATGTGGCCAGTAACTTCACTGGAGTATGGTGGAGGGTGTAGGGCTCCTCACGGGTGCACAGAGGGAGCATGAGCAGACAGTAATTACAAAGAAATAGAAATTCAAGGGACAAGAGAAAAGTGGCACAAAGCCTGAACAGAAAAGAGTTATTGAGATGATGCCTGAGGGACTGTTCTGCACTGGATTAATGGGATTACTTGAGAAAGTAACTGTGGGAGCAGTTGTGTATGATGTGTGTGGGCCATCCCACTGAGGAGAGTAGAACAAGAGCTGTGGCTGTGTCATTTTTAAAACCATTTTTGTGAAGTAACATAAGCTGATGGAAGATAGACTCAGTCATGATTTCCTGAACAAGCTAATCACCATAAAAATGAAAAAACTCTTTCCACTGTGAAAGGACAGTTAGAGAGGCACATGGAAGAAGAAGAGAGGTTCCTTTTCCTTCAGATATGTGCTGACTGCAGCCAGCAGCAGGGTGTTAAGCTTAAAGAAGCCTAATAAAGGCTTGTCAGAGGTGGCAAATGGTGTGTTTCTACATCCCATTTTCTCTGTCTGCTTCACTCCAAGCTGCTCTGGTTATTCCTTATGCTTTATCACAGAGTTTACATGCAGAGTTTTCTCCTGTCTGTGCATGTGCACCAGCTGTCCCCTGTGAGAGCAAACATGCATGCCATGCACTGAACTACGTGAAAAGAAGAGAGCATTGTATAGATTGCTGAGCTATAAGGTTACGTTGGCTGTGGGTGCTGGCAAAGGGAGGATTGCAGTAATTAGCAAGAAACAGATACTGCTTCAAATCCAAGCATTACTGATAGTGACTCTGCTGAACACACAATTTAGGAAGGGGCAATAGACTCCTTCCTTAGTGCACAGTGACTCAAGAAACAACAGTAAAGAAATTATGGTGCTTTTAATTAAAAAAAGTATTTTCTTTTTTTATTATTATTTTTTTTATTTAGGTAGCATCTACTGCTATAAGGTATGATTAATGTCCTCTCTCTTTCCAAGTCTCCATTTTTCCATATTTTGTTTGAGGCACAGATTATTGCTATAAACCAAAAGAGAGAAGGAAACTGCTATGGTGTATCAGATTTCAGGACCTTGTAATCCCTATCTAGGAAGAGTTAGTGTAGCTCTTTTCTGTCTCTTAGTCCAAGCCTTACAGGCTGAATTCTTCTCAGAGTTCAGGGAAAGAAAGGATGTTACAAATTTTATTCACTTTCTGCTACACCCATCCTCAGAAGAGCACCATGGTTGAATATTACTGTGACAGTTTGATCAGATTTAGGTTCTTTTATGTGGGGTTAATGCTTCTGATCCCATCTCAAAGCCAAGTGGCCCTGAAGAAAGGCAACAGAGCATAGATGTGGTGTGCTTCCCAAATACCAGCCAAGCACAGAGCCTTCCATATTAGTTCAGGTTTTGGAATCAATGCTGCAAGATACAGTCCCCTTGTATGCTGCCCTGGAATTTCCAGGGTGCCTCAGTAAGTTGCTTTGGAAATACTATATGTGTGTTCCTTACTGTGGGAATTTCACATTGTGGGCTGTGTATTTGGCATGAAATTGTTGTGGGTTACAGGAGCCTGGTGCAGCTCCTGTGTTCACCCTGCTGCCAGGGCTGTGCAGGCTCTGCTCCTCTGGCCCTGAGGAGCCCATCCCTTCTGCCTTATCTTTTATTCTCTTCTGTTCAGACATTTTATTCAGCGCTTAAAATCGTCATATCCGAGTTCCTACCAGCAGCACATCAGTGATTTATCATTTGTTTCATGTTTTAATCCTTCTCTTTTAGAACTAACTGAAGAAAAAAAACACTTTCAGTTCTGCTGGGGGGCTATTAGAAAAATAAAGGGCATCAGGTATTTTGGTTTTTTTTCAATAAAATATTATTTTAAAACCCTACAGAAAATCAAGAGCCTCTGGTTAGGTTTGAGTCCAGAAACATTTTGTCAAAAATGCCTGTTTCTTAATGCTCAGTGGAAATGGTCATATCCCTTGAAGTGCAGTGCTGTAAGATAAACCCTTCTCAGGTGAAACAAGACTCAGTCCTCTTGGGTTTTATATTTCTGCATCTTGGCTGTGCTTCAGAGCCTCTGAGGGTTACTCAAATGCAGCTGTACAGGGAGAATGGTCTCTTTATAGACCAAATGTATTATATGTCTGGAGAAAAGGCTCTGGTAACCAGCGAGGAGGGAAGGAGCAGGCAGGACAGGAGGACACAGGTCTCAAATGAGTTGACTTGAAAAACAAAGGGGGTTTTGTTTGTTTAGTTGGTGGATTTTTTTAAGGAAAACAAACCTCTTATCCTGGGAGGCTTTTGTCTCTTTCATTAGACAGGTCTGACTCTTAGGATGAGACACTTGGACATTGCTAAGACCGTGGAACATCAGGGCCAGCCAGTCCTGTCCCTACAAACCCAACCTTTCTCGGAGGACAGGCACACACTGTGCTGCTCTGCTGGCCCAGGAGCTTCAAAGAAAGATAAAAATCTTCAACTGACCACACTCAAGGTGATGTGCGACTCTTCTGGCACTCAGCAGGGCCAGGATTTCCCTCTTTGTCTCACTGCTGAGCAAAATTTAGAGCTCTTAGACTTTTCTGCAGTTCTAGCAAGCCCACAAATTTTTTTTTGTCACTGGTTTTAGCAATAAAATAATTTTTCCAAATCTGTAGGTCTCACAAAATAAAAGGTGTTATACAAAAAGAGAATGGGGAGAGTCCAGCCATTCCTCTGTGAGGCTGAGAAAATGGGTTGGGTCAGAAGAGCAATTCCATGGGCTGGTTCTGAGCTGGTTTCTGGCCACGCAATGGAGAGCAAGTCTGGGATGAGTTCCTTTGTTTTCTGTTCAGGTGCAGGTGTCACTGTAGGCTCAAGGCACGTGTGTGAAAGGGAGTGTGCAGGTGAACTGAACCACAGGTCTAGAGGGCAATGGCACATGTGCTCATTTGCTTGGTTCTCTTGGTTCCCCCCTCCAGAGAGCTCAGCTGCAGGGGCTGGGACAGGCAATGTAGGGTGGGAACTGATTTTAGGGTCAGCTCAGCCTCACTCTTGGCCATCAGTGCAGATAGATTCTGAGATACAGCTTGAAGCTTGCTGTGCAATGACTGCTTGATGGCTTTCTGTGGAGGGTGAACACTCTAACCTTGGTTGAAGCTCATTGCACCTGATTTTTAATGTTAATAAGAATGAAAAGTTTGCAGAATACTTCTGCCCCAGCAGCTGGGGTTCTCAGCAGTAATACGTGTTTATAACTCCACCATTGAATCAATAAACCACATGCTATTTCCCTCCTAAAATTTACAGTCAGATCTGTTGCTGCTTAACAGGGCAAGTAGAAAAT